TTATGGAGCTGAAATAGGTTGCATTTAACCGCCCCCCCCCCCGAAATGTTTTCAAACATAGTTATTTTCTGAGTAAATATTTTCCAAAAGAAAAATTCTACAAAGAATATAAAACCTTCCCCGGAGTGCTTATAAAGGGCAGGATAAAAATAGCTATGAGTGAAAAAAGAAATAATGTTTTAAGAACCAAAAAAACAACAATAAAATCAAATGCAAGTGGTTCTACCCTACCTGCCTGTTTTTCACCCTTCTTCCACACATGCAAACACACCCACACACAACACAGTAGATTTCAACTACAAGTTTTAAGAGCAATTACAAAAAAGCAAAAAAGAAAATCAGTCAATCCTTGTTTTACAGAAAGTGGGCCACAGAAATCAAAAAACAATGCTTCTAGACCCATGAAAGGCATAATTCACATTTCATTTCCTGAACATATCTGTTCAAGCTACCACGACAAAATGAAGATGCTATGAGGTAAATCATACTCCGATCCTCATTTTCATTACATTAAGATTTTACAAAAAAAAAATTACAAAGCTATTCCAATCCACTACTTATATGGGGAAAATAAAGCATGGGTGTCAGTGAGGAACAAAATATTAGAAACACTCCTTAAAACTCACCTTAAAAAACCTTTTGAGTGGATATAAAAGTTGATCATATTTTTAGGCAATTTATCTTAAGCATACTACAGAAGCAACGGCATTTTAAAGTATCCAGAAATCAAAATTACCAAAATTATATTTAAAAGAATATATTCTGTACACAGAGTTAGTAAAGGTGTCTAAAAGCAGAGCTTGTGGGGGTTTTTTTCTTCTTCAGAGATGGATCATCCCCATCATCATCACCCTCGTTTGGCATCACCTATGGCCCCCCAAACATCAAAGACAAATTCATCCGGGAACGCAAAGTCTCCAAAGGTTTCGTCAAGGGCCACAGCAAATTCATCTGGATTAACTTTGTCCTTTCCAGCTTCAAACATTGTGGTAGCTGTCAAAAATAATTTTTTAAAATTAATGATAAATGAGATAGCATCAGAGGACTGAGAAAAATGGCACCAGGAAAATGACTTTCTAAAAGTAACATGCATATATATCACATATGTCTAGTGCAAGTTAAAACAATAAGATACCCCCTCTCATATATCAAAGTAGCAAAGATATTTTTCAACAATCTGTCCACTGAACCCNAGGGACTGGCACATGTCCCATCACATGGGAAGTGTTTGGAGTGTGGGGGTTCAGGGAGACCGGCACCCTGAGGGAACACTGGGGCACAGCATGCACAGCTGATCTGCCCTGCAATCAGCACAGGACCGCTCAGTGGAGACTGGTCAGGAGTATAGAACTGCAGGGGATATGGATTGCTGAAAAGACTCAGGCCCAGACCAGAGTTTCCACACAAATCAGGTGTACCAGACTTCCTGAGACCAGAAAGTCCTTACAAGGTCAATGATTAAAACCTAAGCTGCATCAACCACATTGTATATCGACAAAATAAAATTTTTTTTAAAAAAAACCTGAGCTGCACAAAAAGCCTTCCCCAGAGAATCAGCAGCAAAGCAAAAATTTAGCTCAACCACAAGGCTCAAATGCCAGTCCCCATGGGAAGTTCCCACATTTTAGAAGGAAGCAAAAGATAACAAATTACTTCCAGTGCAGAGTTTAAGTGGTGGGAATAGCGAATAATCCAACAAAGAACTGAAAGAAAACACAAAAAAAACCCACAAATCAGAAACAAAGTTCTGACATTAACCGGTAAAGGTCTAACACCAGCAAAGAACACCTATAAAACCTAGAAGGACCGGAAGCCCCCCAGACTCCACATAGCTGGGGTGGAGGGAGCCGAGGGCCTCAGCCATGCCCCCCTGAAGTCCACATCCAGCCCAGCCCCAACTGAGCTGCAGCCAGAAGCCCCCAGGCTCCCCTGCCAAAATGAGGGGGGTGCCACAGGCTTCAACCCCCTCTCTCCTTCCTCCTCCTCCCACTCAATCCTTCTCCCTTTTCCTCTCTCCCCCTCCTCTCCAACTGCTCCACAACATCACAGAATGTAAAAATAATAATAATAATTTTTCTTTAAAGTATATATATTATGATTAATGGGAATCGGGTTTGTCACTGTGAGGGAAAGATTAATAGAGGAAGGGAGAAAACAGCATGAACTCTGTGGAACTGTAGATATCAGTGGATATATATACATTTCAATGAGAGATTCTAAAAATATAGATATAAATGCATACACACACAGACACACTCTTTACTACTGGAAGCATGACATCCCAGTAACAACAAGCACAGAAAACACCCTGATCTTGGTTCTTAAATATCATTCTCCACTAAAAAAATTATGAGTTCCTCAGAGAAANCCCTGATCTTGGTTCTTAAATATCATTCTCCACTAAAAAAATTATGAGTTCCTCAGAGAAATGGCTGACTCCAAGCAATATGAACCAAGAACATCTTGTGTGAAGAAAGAAAGAAAATGTCAAAAAATGATGGGAACATGTGAAAAGGACACAGAAGTCAGAGCGCAAGACTCCCACTGACCAAATCAGGGATAAATTGAACATTAAAGTAAGTAGTGATGGTAAGAGATTACAACTCCATTGAATAAAACAGGAAACCATGAATCCATAATAAAATAGATGCTGGCTGGAAGGAAGGAAGGAAGGAAGGAAGGAAGGAAGGAAGGAAGGAAGCTGCTGTACGG